TTTTAAAAAAAAAAAAAAAAAAAAAAAAAGACTACATTTGCCTCCATGTCGTTTACATAAGCCTTTAACTGATCGGTAAGGTGCATAAACAATAAGATCAAATTCCAGACTGTAGAACAACAGGAAAAAAAATAAGAGAAGAGGGGAAAAGAAAACACAGCAAAAATAAATGAAGTGAACATGATAACAACAAGTCATGTAGCACATCCATGCCTAATATACTATCATCTCATAATTGAGAATAATTTGATGATCCTGTAAATTCCCTTACCAAGCTCCTCAGCTGAGACGTGATTTTCTTCTATCTTACAAGCTGCATAAATGCAGGTTAACCTGTGAAGGAGACAGTTAGCTACATCCAGAAACTACTCTATGGCTCATATGATAATAATAACGACAGTGAGAGTGAAAGAAGTTGTAGGGAGCAAAACTTCCTAAGATGAGTGTAATATCAAAAGTACATCCCACGTCCAAGCAATTTCTCTAGAGCTAAGCATTTCAACCACATTCATACCCAAAATGATTTTTAGCAAAGTCAAATTATTGTATCACAATAAATAAGGGGAAGCTTTAAGCATATAAAGCAGATATACATCTAAACTCTTACATCACATATTTGGGATTATGTTGCATCACAGACCATTGTAGATAGAATCTTTTAAAATATATAAGAGCTGTTGCCTGAAAAGAGTCAACAAAAATGAGGAAAAACATAAAAGAAGGATTCATATAAACAACAATTTCAATATTTAAAATACATAACAATCTTTATGCAAAAGAGATATGGGTCATTCAATCAGCTTATCTTATCTGAATACCTGGATTTTACGAGGAAAATGAAAATTGTTGCATACTTCTTGAAGTTTGTTTTCGTAAAATACTCGCATAAATTGCTCTTCTTCAATACTCAAAGCTTTGGCAAGAGAATGTTTGCCGTTTAATACTAAATTTGAAGTTTTACGTTCTTGCAAAAAGAGCAGCAGAGGAACTGTTACCGTTATCTTTTGAATTTATCTGAGGGTCTGGAAATGACAATGATCCGTCAGCATCTACTTCCATTAGTGTTGCTCCAAACTACGCCAAGAGAAGAGTTAGTTGACAGAAATAATAATATCAAAACTATAAAAGCGGATGCCAAATGCTTTTGCTGGAGATAAATATATGAAGTGAAGAAGAGAATTGCCGTCAGCAATTTGAAGTTTTGGGAAAAAGATGAAGCATGATAAAATTGATTTTAAAACCTTTTCCTGTACAATACACTATTGTATGGATGATGAAAGTCTCACGTTGGCTAATTTAGAGAATGATCATGGGTTTATAATCAAATAATACTATCTCCATTGGTATGAGGCCTTTTGGGGAAACCCAAATCAAAGCCATGAGAGCTTATGCCTAAAGTGGACAATATCATACCATTGTGGAGAGTCGTGTTCCTCTAACAGGTTAAGTACCATCTCATTCTATTCATACCTTCTCCAGAGCTTCGATTGCTCTCTGGTTAGCCGCTTTGTAACTACAAATCTGTACAACAAAGGAGTCGAAATGATCGTATTTTTATCATAGCAGTAAGTTGACAGTTTAGATACACCATCGATTCAACATCGAGTCCTTAAAACCAGTATAACTCCTCAAAAGCCAACAATCGTCCAGCTAATTTATCAAATAAAGTTCGCCTAACAATTGTCACCTGGGAGAGCACATGCTGAAACGAATTTAAAATTAATTCTGTATTCCACATTTCCAATTTGTTGCGTCCTCCCCGAGCCATAGAACAGATAGCAATAAAACTAATGCGTCCAACTAAAGCAATTGAAAACTAATGCCATACACTTGGCATCAAGTTACCGTAGAAGTAAGAAACTCCAGTTGCTTAATAAGGCAATCTAAACAAACGCCTAATTGTAGATTACTTGAAGCTCATTTGATCAGAAGCCAACGAGAATCGATTATCGGCAGTAGTGGTAAATATCTTTCCCCAAACCGACACGAGAAAAATAAAATAAAACCAAAACACAAAGGAAGAAATCAGTACCAGTTCCTGAGGATCCAAATTCCATTTGGCTCGGCCGGCCATGGCTACTCAGAAACCTTGGTGCCGCCACAGTCGAAGGACAGCTGCCACTGCAAGGATTCAAGAACTGGAAGAAAGATGAACAAATATGCGCGCGTGTTGGGTCGGAGCTGATCAATATATACATAATAAACATTTTTTTCCTTTTTATTGACATAATTTTATAAATTAAAAAAAAAAAAAGTGCAACTATTTATCAATCAACTTTTTTTTTTTTAATAATTAAAATTTCATTGACCTTCAGGGATGAGAAATTGTGTATAAAAAAAAAAAAAAAAAAAAAAAAAAAA